TGTAATTTACCCAATGGTTATGGTTGCAGAAGAGGCAATATTTCAAGAGGATAACGCACCAATTCACAAGAGCAAACTTGTACGGGGGCTTAAAGATAATCTCGGAATTGTGACAATGGAGTGGCCATCACAATCACCAGACCTGAGTCCAATTGAAAATGTGTGGAGAGAGATTAAATGCTGGATTCATAAGAACCGAAAACCACAGACAGAAGCTGACTTGGAGGAAGCCGTATTTGCCGCATGGAATACAATTACATTTGAGAAAATTCTTCACTTTATAGACTCAATGCCAGAACGTATTAACGAAGTAATAGAAAAAAATGGACATGCAATCCACTATTGATACGCATTTATTAGTAGTAAAATATGTGCGTAGAGTACATTTCTTTCTACGCAATTAACGATTGTCCTAATTTTTTGTCACCCCTCTGTACATATATAGCTATTTACATTGCATGGTTAAAAATACGTACGTACATAATATGTAAAATTATATCGATATGTACCACAATTTAACTCGTATAACAAGTTAAAAGTAACTAATTTCAACAAAATTAATAAGCTTGACAAAGTCGTCAGCTTAAACTTTTGAAAAATCTTTTTTGATTTTTGCAAATGATCGATGTAGGCTATTTTTCAATAACCAGCCCAGTACATATATATTGACACCCGGTTCATTGTGCTATTGCGGCAAATCTTCGTGACCTCCGGTTTGATTGCTCCACAAACTCTCGTACGCGGGCTGAAATTGAAGTTGATTCCTTATTCTGGTTTTGTGAGACATACGTACATGTAAAAGTTTATTCATTCAAAAACCTATCGATATACCATATATCGATATGTAATTACATGTACGTATATAGATAGAAATTTTATTCTTCTAGAATTTATAGAATCGAATCCCGAATTTCAATTATCGTTATCATATGAAATTTTAATATTAATACACTATGATTTTTAATAAATTCTTTCTACATGTGTAACGATAAATGCCAATTCAAAATTTTAACAATCTAAGACATATCGATATAATTACTATATACAATTTTTCAGCCACCAAACACAGCAAAAATATATTATTTACTTTCAAGGCAAACAAAATAGCGATAGTTCGTTTCATTCAGCAAATACACTACTTCACGTTTTGTACGTTAAAAGTTTTTTTGGTAAAGCAACTCGTGAAGAAAATCGCAGTTTCACGATTTGCATGGGAAAGTTGACCCAATCCATTGAAACCGATCTGCCTTGAATAAAATCGTAAATCGTATATATACGTATATAATTTGCGATTTTCTATCGGCAGTACATTCATGCATTCATAGTAAGTAATTTTTCTTCGCTTTAATATGACGTAAATGTTTGTGTTCTAGAAAATTCTTGGTTTCGTGACTTTTTATTTGATAAATAATATGCATGTAATCCAGGCATCATATTATTGTTGGTGAATGGTGTGGTGTGGTATGACAGAAATTCTCGAGAGAAGACATGCACATATTTTTGAACTTAACTTCCAACATTATTATTCCTTAATTAGATTCATCACTACACAACAGCTGATCGTAAATTTTCCCCTAGTGTGTGTCACTCTATCTTTGCTATTGTTTACATGTATTTAAACTCTGGTGTTACTTTAGCTTTCCCCCAATTTTTTAAACTTCTAACTATTTTTAACTATTTTTATTGTCGCTGATATCTAAAATTATCTTCTCCACAAACTTTTATTACTCCTTCAAAAAGTTTATTACTCCTTCAAAAAGTTTATTACTCCTTCAAAAAGTGTATATATCAATAGATTTTTTGCTGTGTGAAATCATAATACAAATTTATCCTCTTTATCATCTTGGCTATCTCTTTATCTTGAAACTTGTACTATCTTTTTCAACTAGCTTGAAAAAGACTTCTTAATATATAACATAAATACACGCGTGCGTCGACTTTTTTCACACTCACACTTGTAAACGAATCAATTACCGTTATTACTCGCAAGATGTCATCATCGTTAGGCTTCCCAAGGTCAATGTCATTAAGTTTACCAAAAACATTTTCATTTTCTCCGTCGTCCTCGTCCGAAGGAAAAAGTTGCAAAAAATCGATACCATCACTTGATCGTTATCTTACAAATGAAGGTCATCGACTGGTTGTTTCGTATATTCGAAACACACAGATACAAAATAACATCATAGGTGGCCAATTGTTCAAAATCGAAGAAAATGATATCGATGAACTGATCAAAAGTTATAAGGGAACTCCTACGCCAGTTTTTCACACACTTCGCTATGACGATCTTCATTTGGCATTACACGAGATGAAGAATCTAAGTAAACTTTTGAAAGGTGATAAAATCACAAATATTCATACGCTTCAATTAACGAAAAATCAACTTTGTGGAACTCCGTTAAAGCTGTTTTTCAACGCACTACGGAAGAATAGTACAGTCACAAAACTCGACTTGTCATTTAATTTTTTGGGTGATCGTGAGGTGAAATGGTTGGCTAAAGTATTGAAAAAGAATCAAACATTACGGGAGGTTTATCTGGCGTCTAATAAAATCGGGGTAGAAGGAGCGAAATTGTTGGCGAAAGCACTTAAAGAGAATAATTCGCTGGAAAGATTCAGTATTGAACAAAATCGAATTGGCTCTCAGGGTGCAATTGCATTTGCCGAAATGTTGAAGACGAATAAAACGTTGAAATATATTCATTTTGGTGGTAATAATTTAGGTATTGGGGGGACTCAAGTTATTTGTGAGGCATTGAAAGTTAATCAAACTCTTCTGAGCTTGAGTCTTGATGTTAATAACATTGGAAAGGATGGGGCACGATTAATTGGTGGTGCATTATTAATGAATAAAACACTTACTCATCTTTACCTTGGACGCAATAATATCCAAAATGAAGGTCTACAACATATTTGTCGTGGTCTCGATCATCCAGATTCTGCCATAATCTATTTGGATTTGGAATTTAATGGTATCGGAGGCGAAGGCGGAAGTGGAGGTGAATCACTAGCAAAACTATTAGACTCCAAAAGCAGCAATGTTCCACGTGCAATTAATCTTGTTAATAATCCAGTTGGCGATGAAGGGTGCGAGCAATTAGCAAAAGGATTCTACAAAAACACAACTCTTGAATCGATCATCCTGTCACATTGTAATATTGGACTACGTGGTATCACTGCCATCTCGGAATCATTGATTGCTAATCGAGGATTACAAAATCTTACTCTGGACAATAATAATGCCATTGGCGCTGACGGGCATGCATTATTAGCTGATGCATTAGAGAAAAACACTACAATCAAAGGCGTGCAACTCGACTACAATTTCGCGGATTGGGAACATGCCGGGAATTCAATACAAGCATCGCTTACCCGTAATCATTTCCTACAACAAGAGAAATACGCGATCGCTTCTCAGATTCTCGTTGCCGCACGAACAATGTTTCATTCTTTTCCACCAAAGAAACTATCGTCATCATTAATGCATCTTGAATTCCATGCACTACCATTTGAGATTCGTGAAAATATTCTATTCGCGCTAGACGCAAACAATGTGTTGACACATTCACAGAAAATATCAATTATCAATTTCGCAAGGCGAAAAGACACGCTGGGTACTAGTAGGGAATCATTTTTGTTGCAGGCTTTTCATGTTTATTATCCATTGACTTTGACAGTACGACTTTGGCCTACCGAAGCTTCGGATTTTGATTCTTCGGATAGATATTAGAGATTTATGATTGGTCGTTATATATGGACTTTTTTCTCACAGTTTATGTATTAACATGCTTTGAGGTTCTGGTGTATGCTATTTATTTTAACATTTTTATATATACTCGTTTACTTTTCTCAAAAATATTCGAACAATTTCTTATACATTTTTACATAAAAAACAAAAGAACACTTTCTGTATCTAATATAATACTTTTATACCCATACAGTATATATAGCATTTATTTTGTCATTAATCGAATCCATGCACGCATTGATTTCGATTGAACACAAATAATTATTTTCTTTTTAGTTTCTGTATCAATAATAAGATTATCTCGATTAAGCACGAACAATTATCATTTTTTTAGTTTCTATCAATACTAAGATTATTTATATTCATCTATCAATATTCATCAATTGTATTTATTATCTGGACGTAATATTCTGCCTATATTTAATATTATGATTATGATTATAACCTATCATTCATTGGTATTTTTTCGAGTTTCTATACGTAATTACCAGTATAAAAAACCAGACACAAATGTGTTGTGACGAATTTGATCGATTTTGATTTGAAAAGGAACTTTTGTTCGGAACTCGGAAGCTTTTGATTTTTTTTCATGATGCGTAGTAATTACGTATGCTAACGCTACGTACGTAGTTCGCTTCTGATTAGATTGCACGACATTTCACAATGATGGATTTTTTGTTACTGCGCTATCATGTGAGAAATGAACTTTGCATTTCTATTTGTCGTACACTCATTGTTGTTTGAGAAGTTCTAACGCTAACTCCGTTTTGAATTAGTACGTCATTCGAAAGAGGAAATTTAATCATTTTTATCCCGATTGGACTTATTCTCTTGGCAAATTGTTTTCCAATAAATTTAATATCACATTTGGTTATTTACATTTGAATATATAAAAAATCGATTTCACATATAATGACAACTCATCTTTGGGCAAAAAACGGCTTTATATCTGAACTTCCACCAACCCCAACATCACCATTCGCAAAATTTTCATTTAGCGAAGATGACGACTCCTCCAACACTAACACTAACACTAACACTAACAATAACAATAACAACATATTCGGGATATGTCCTGAATGTGAGTCCCCAAATTCCGGATACGGTTGGTGCGGACCTTGTCTAAACCACAACTACCAACAAACGTATCCGGATCGTACAAGTGGCAACGACTCAATCGATACTTTTATCACGAAATCACAATTGGTATCCACATCACAGTATAATTTTTTCGAGTGGATCCCGAACTCGTATTTTAGAGATGTAGAGTTTTTTGCGGAAGGTGGATATGGGTCTATACATACCGCGGTGTGGTTGGAAGGACCCATTTCGCGATACGATTCCAATGCGGATCAGTTTTTGAGAGATGGTGCGAAAAAAGTTGTGTTGAAAACTTTTAAGAATTCGCAAAATATTTTGGCTGAATTTTTCGATGAGGCAAGTTTATTTTTTATGCACGTCTTTTCTGTGTTGGAAAAATACATTTCGTCCTTGACCTTTACATTCAATCTGTGAATAGATTGCAGGAAGTCTACGACATACATTCCGATATCCAATTATTCCTTGTTATGGAATGACTCTAGATCCCGAAACTCTGGAATTCGCAATGGTTGTGCATTATGCAGCAGATGGCAACCTTCGTGAATACATGCAAAAAAACAATGCAAGCCTCACCTGGCAACAAAAACTCGACATTTTGCACGAAATCGCACGTGGTCTCTCGATAATTCATCTTCACGGATACACACATCACAATTTTCATAGTGGTAATATTTTGTTTGACGGTAATGCTTCATTCATCAGTGACTTTGGCTTATCGAATTCGACTACCAAAAAACCCGGAATCTTTGGCGTTTTACCATTTGTCGCGCCAGAAGTGTTGCTCGGGGAAGCGGAGGCAACGGCTGCTAGTGATATTTACGGTTTCGGAGTGGTGATGTGGGAACTGGCGACTGGCAAACCACCGTTTGCGGATCGAGCGCATGATTCTGAATTAGCGTTGGAAATTTGCCTTGGAAAGAGACCTGAAATCGAAGATGGAATTCCGGAATTGTATGTTAATCTGATGAAACAGTGTTGGGATAAAGATCCAAAAATACGTCCCGCCGCCGCTTTACTCGAAAGAACTCTGCAACGATGGTATTCAGATGTAAAAGAAGATGAAGTTGAAAAGAAAAGTTGCATGCAATTCAAAGATGCTGAAGAGAATAGAGTTAAAGAAACTCCCAAGGCGATAATTCATCCTGGAGCTATTTATCAAAGCAGATTTTTGAATTTTCCGGAATTGTTTGATTTGGTGGCAGCGAATAATTATAGCTAATGAATTAATTCATATTTAGAAAAAAAATAGTGTTCTATTTATTTTACAGTACGTAATTAACTTTTATTGATTCATAACGATTAGGAATAAATGTACTAAAATTGCACAATTAGCGTTAGATGTTTAAATGAATCGCAAAAGCTAAAATTTATCCATTTTGTAATAACACGGAGATGTTGACCAATAACATTATCACTGACTCGAGCCGTATTGTAATCATGGTATTTTAACATTAACATTACGTAATGGCATTATTGTCACCATTAATTTATAAACTCGCAAATTACATGTATAATAGAAAATTGATCGTAAATAATAAAAAAAGAACTTATAATTTGAAAAAATACATGAAATAATATAGAAGAAAAATAAAGAAACCAAGCATATTACATGTATATCTAAATTTCATTAAAATAGTCATTTGATTTGTGATCTTAATTATAAATTATAAGAATTCTGCTGAACTTTAAGAAACAAAATTAATAACATCGATATAAATATGTCAAGGAAATTATGTAATTAATATATCCAATTTAAAATAATAATAGAATAAAAATAAAAAAATAAGAAATATCAAGAAAAAAATAAAAAAAATCAAAAAAGAATATTATCGACTAATAATAATAATTAAATATTATTATAACTAAGTTTGTCTTTACTATATTTTTATTCATATGTTTATTATATTAGATCAGAGCTCTTAATTTTAAGAGATTTGCTTCACAAATTAATTATAATAACTGGTTTCAACTTATTGAATTTGATATATAATTTAAATAGTTACTATTATAAGAATTCTTTAATACTTTTTTATCTAATATATGAAGTTTTTGTTAAAGATATTATAAATATAAGAGATCTTTCTATTTTCATTAAATTTATTATGATACCAATATTAAGTTTCTATTTATTTCATCAATATTTTTTATCTAATTTAAAATGAGACAAATATTTTTATTTTAAAATTTTATTCTTTTGTTTAATTTGTACTTTTTGAATATTATTGAGAGTTATTTTATATATTATTTTCAATTCATCAATTATTTTTTATAATTGCTTTTTTATTGAGATTAATTAATTATTCAAATCTTTGAGTTATAATTTGAGAGAGATAATGACTTAATAATTATAAACTAATTGAAAAGATTCAATTTTTTTGTATTTTGTTTTATTATCTAATATACAAATAAAACTGAAAGTAAATAATAATTCTAATCTTTCTTATAAATTTTAATAATAAAGTACAAAATATATGATTTAATCTTTAATTAGTTTAATAAAATACAAATAATTAATATTTAATTTAATACTTTTTTAAAAGTTCTTTAATAATTTTATTGACAAAAGTAGTATTTTGATTATTTAATAATTTATGAATTTATATCTTATTATAATATCTTTAGGGAGAAATAATATAATTAATTATATTAATATATTTTTAATTGATTATACTTTTACTCATTTAGTTAAATAATCTACAGCAATTATAATATATTATAGTTAAATTTCTCTATAATTATTATTCTTAAAAAAGCAAAATTTGGCAATTACAAAAGGAATATAACTATAAAAAAATTTTTTACTATATTTATATATAAATAAAAAAGCAAAATAGAATGATTATAGAAAGATATAACTATAAATAAGTATAAATATAAAGATATTTGACTGTAATTTTTATTGATAATGATTGATAAGAAATTTATAAAATTAATTCCAACTTTTTCAAATAGTTTTTTTTACTGTGATTGATATTAAAACATTATTTTATATAGTCATTCTTTTTATTAACAAATCTCACATATCTTAATATAAGCTTCTATATCACAATAAATTTGAAATCAATAAAAATTATATATTATTTTATTATATATTATTTCAATTTCAAAATATTTAACAATTAAGTCTGAATGATTACTGAATAATATATTTTTGATTTCTGTTAATTTAATAATTTGTAATGAATATTTTATATTTAATTTATTATATTTAAATAATTTGTTATTATTAATAAAATATTATTTTGATTTTATTAACAATTACTTTCATTTATCTTTTGAGTAATTATCTAATATAATGAAAAAATTTAAATAATTATAAATATTCATATAGTTTTTCAAATTTATATGCTTGTCTTTTTTATACTTCGAAAGTTTTTATTAACTAAGCCAAATAAAGAATAAGTAATATAATTTTGAATTTTGAGTTCAGTTAATAATACTATTACTTTTTGATATAATGTTACTGTAGTAACATAAATTTTTCTAATTCAATAATCTTTCTTTAATTATACGAAATTCTCTTTTTCTTATTTTTTATAATTTATTATCTGATTATCATTATTTTTATCCAATCATATAATTATCTCACTTTTATTTTATTACTCTAAATCTTATATTTATATTCTAAATATCATATTTATTCTCTTTTTC